TTGAAAAGAACAACACATTTGTAGTGATAAAATAATTTTCTTCTTGAATGTCATAACCTTCCATCACAGAAAGAGTTAAACACTTTAATTTTCCGCTTTTCAGTTGGAATTGCTAATCTTATCAAAAATTTACTGAGATGCAATATGACTGGAAAATTTACTAGAACAGTTTTCGTGTTCAGACCACGAGCATCAGATGGCACATTCGCCCGAGCGAAAAAGTTTTGAGCTACGCTTAAAGTTTTCAGACAAACAGCGAGGAGCTCGTAAATTTTTCCGGCTACCCTAGTATTAATGGGCAAAATTTCTGTACGATAAGTGCTTGTGAATTAAATTGTACGGCGCCATGTTCTTGAAATTTGAAGGCTCGCCAAAAATAGTAGTAAGTACCAGAAGTATTTATATTTCGCAAGATATTTTTGATGATATATTCCTGGCTGACTTTAGAAGATATATTACGCTGTGTTTTAGTTTATTTTTGAAATTTTAATTTCATGTAGAAATAAAATTTCCATATTTGGATTTTTTATAAAATTTCTGATCATCGATTTCGTCGGTTGAAAGATGCGAGCTTTTATGATACTGCTGGTTTGACGTTAATAGTTATAAATTCTTGGGATGGTTCTAGTATGACAGGCTTACATATTATTTTTCAGCCGTTCTGCATGTACAGAGAAATGTATAATTTTAAAGTCTAATGCTGCGTCAATATTTTCTCATTCTTCCTGAACTCCATAACCATAAATTTTATACCATGGATTCGTTACAGAGCTCCAGCCACGATTTTGAATCGGGTAGATTTTTCATGTAAATTCCAAAAATTATTTAACTCCATTACTTTATCATTTATTTGCGCTTATTAATTGTACCCCTGATATGGGCTTTTTACATAGTCATCCATATGTGAGTATAATTAAAACCAAATAATAAAATGAAGCTCCCACAGCACACGCTTAGAATTGCTTTCTGAGAGCTAAAAACTCGTATAAAGAGAAGCAACTCGGACCTAGAAATCTGCAATGGTGCTTAGCACTCCACAAAACTTTCCCAGTTATGCCCATTTTAAAGAAAACTTTTCTACAACTGCAATGGTGCACTTTTCAAGTCTAGTCCAAGTTTCGGAAATTTGTTTTTGCTCCTTACGATAGCGATAAAAATAAATTCTCGTTATCAAAATTTACGGCAACTGGTATAATGGTCAAAACAGCTCGGTGGCAAGTATTTTTGCCCTCCCTCTCATGTTTCCTCCCCCTCTCCCCGGATGCCCTTTGCTGGCAACCCCTTATATACGAGGAGGAGCATGAGGCTGTTCCCTCGTTTCCCCTTTTCGAACCCACTTAGTCCAGGATTTGGGCTCACAGTTAAGGAAAATTAATGAAATATTAGATAAAATTAGCGACTTTGAGTCTTCTGGGAAGTATCTCGAACGAATGCATTGAGTTATTTATAAACCGTCTGATATATTATCTCTAATGCTCAATCATCAAATGTTTAAGAATCACAGTGGTTTTTAAGTTTGTTAGCGCGAATGATAATTCAATCAAATTCTCCGAATGATATACAATTCTCTGTCCCAATTCTGTGAATGATAAACAATTTATTTTTAAATATAAAAGTAACTGTCATTCAGAAAACAAAAAATTGTGTCCACCCAAACCAAACCACTCACTTCAAACTTTTTGATTGATTGTAATTAAAATGAAAATCCAATTAAAAATAGCGTTCCAGAATACAAATCCCATGCACTTGAGTCCAAAGTATATGTTCAATTTTTCAGAAGTGACGTACGTTTTATGCAAAAAATTCACCGTAACCCCATCTTTGCGACATTTAATTAGGAAGCTCACCCTATTAAATTCACAATACTTTCTATAATAATTAATTAAAGCGTTGCTAATTAACACCAGCTCTCATTGGAGAGTTAATCAGAAAACCGCTCAGGAATAATTCAAATCTCTCCCTAAAATGGCCATCAACACTACATGAAGCAAAGCTCATTCGCTAGCGCTGCAGCAGCAGTCGCGGGAGAAAATTAATATTACACTCACTTCCTCACTTGTCTCCAAATAGAAGAAAAACGCAGCATACGAGCACCTCGTATACTTTTTGAGTAGGGAAAGAATTTTTCAAAGAGTCCTTTCCAAGTTGTTGGGTAGAATCTGTGGCCGGACTCGGCGTCTTCCGTTGCAAAGTCCATGAGTTCTGAGCTTGAAGTGTTCAGCGGACGTCGTAGATATAGGACCTACATCCTGCACAGCCCATGCCTCAGCAACACAGTTCCTTGATTTCGATCAGCCTTCAAGTACTGAAGGAATGCCTTAATGAGGCTTCTTGGGTTCGCTTACTTTTCTCGTTATAAGTGCTACAGTTAAAATGAAGTAAAAAAAATCCGACCATAAAGAATCAGTATCTGAAAATGTTGATTTCATGTATTCCTTCAATACTCTCCTCAATATGAGGAGATTACTTTAATCGTAAAAAACCAATTTTGCTTTAGTTTTAAATTTTAAGGAAGAAAAATAATGGCTTCGAATGTTGCTCTCGCATCGCATAAGTTGGTAAATATATTCAAACATTCCAAAAACCTTTCATCTCTTGCTAATCACAAATCCACACCTTTATCCGACTCCTATTAGTGCTAAACCATGTCACTGAAATTAAATTTTAAAATATTTCAAACATTTAGGAAAATTACATAGTAATATTAAGAGAACACAGACATTCTCGGAAGTAATAAGCGAAATATAGAAGGCGTTGCTAGAAGATACCATAAAGAAGCATCTCTGAGAAACGCTATGTCAGCTCCGAGCTCGGCGACAAACTTTGTACGTTACTGCAATATATATCAGCGAAAGCGGGCCGATTTTTTGGCAATTCTCCTAATGGCAGACACTGATGTTTCCGAGATACCAACCAGAAATGAACATTCTCTCCATAAACTAATGGATACTAGGATCGCAGCATTTCTCTGGTCGGGATGACGTTGGCTACGGTTTATTCTATGGTGATAATGTTGGATCTGGAAGCCTTTCAAGTCGTACTTTCAAGAACTTTTTAGCCGTGACATTAGCATGAGCTTTGTTTTGGACTTAACGAGTTCACTTTGGAAATACAGCTCAGCAGAAAATACCGTAGAATAAAATTTGCTAGCTAGTGTTTCACTTTTTTAAACTGGAAGAAGAATGATGTCACAACTTGAAGATTTTCTCAAAAGCACAATTATAACTAATGATTCATTCATCAAATTGTCATTTTATTCTCATTCCAAGGTTTGTGTCATTATTTGCAGTTAATTTTTTTAAAGTTTTTTAACAATAATATAGAAGAAGTAAAAAATTATTGAAGAGACACGTGCTTCTTTATATCTTGAAATCAGGAGAACGTATATTTCTCCAAATTTTACCACAGAAAAGTCCCCCAGATTCTTTTAGGACAGATAACAAATCGTTAGCGTGGCTCGTTCTCGGGTTCTTCAATATACTTTACAATACAAAGAAGCCGGTAAAAGAATATCTTTACATTGCTGCAAGGCAAGAAAAGGAGGACGATGCTGTCTTCGCGCGATTGAATGCAATATCCCGAGGTCCTTTCCCCCTCATTCATCCATGGAATTTATTTGGTCGATTGCTTATGGTTTATAACGGTGCCGCCAACGGGCGAAATGCAACAAAAATGTGGTGATCATTAGACAAAAAGCTTGACTTATTTCGGTCTTAAATTTTTTACCATTTGTTGTCATTGGAATGGATTCCGATGTCAGTGGTAACAAACAAATTGGCATCTTTTTATGATAAAAATGACTGCACTGAACAACGTTTTTGAGCGAAAGGCACGGCACATTTTCTAGCAGAAAACTGCAGTATGCTTGGGTTCTCCATTAGCAACGCAGGCCTCTCGCGAATTTTCTGTTGATCTGGATTGAGGGAGAACTCTGATGTGGAAATGCGGTGAATGCAAAATTCATATCGAAGGCTGCGCTTAACAGATATGGCGTAATTTAAATGAATAAAATATCGTTTGAATTCAGGTATCATCTAAAATCAACCCTCTCCACCTCAAATCGTAATTGATTAAATTACAAAATTAATGTTAAGGCCAAAAAAATCTCTCTTTACGATGTGGCAGTCCCTTATCGCTCTCATCTTCGTTGCGTGTTATATTACTTTTTTGTCATTATGTAATGCCTTATAGATAATTTTCAATTTATAGGTCGTAACACCGGTCGCATTTATTTGACCTGTAGGAATGCGGTTTTCCAAAATCCGCAATCACAAACAAGGTTGAGAATTTGTCACACGTCAATATTTATAAATATAAATATAAATAAATAATTTGTCACACGTCAATTTTTATAAATATATGAATGGTGAATATTTCAAGAACTGAAGTTTCATATTTAAGTTATTCAAAAAATTGTACCTGCACGTTGACGTTGGTTGTTTCGAACCAAGCGGACACAGCTGCGTACAGCTGATATTGATTTTTCATGTGTTCAAAATCAAGGAAAATTTACTCATTTTATGTAGGACTGAACGAATGTTTGCAGAGAAATAAATAATTTCATGCACAAAACTAACCTAAAATATTGAAATATAATGCCATTAGGAATATAGTGTTCAGTTAACAAGTTAACATCATTAGTTACTTAATCTCATACTCAAATCTCAAGGTTGCAATTTTGGATCGAATCGATAGGTCTAAATTTTCCACAAGAATTAATGACTGGGGAGCAACTGCATGTGAGACTTGGGTGCTGTGTAGAATGGTCATTATAAAAAAATCATTTTCTCATGTTCTCATGTTCAAAAATCATGTTCTCAATTGCATAGTAAATGTGGACATGATCGTTATACTGGGATCGAGGAGTAAATTAGAACACTATAACTTCACCAATTTAGTACTTGAACTTAGGAATATCATACTGCACTGACTTTACGAAGAATTTGAATATAAATTGTTACGTTAAAGCTGAGCCACTGAAATGAGTTTTCATTTTTCAGACTGCTCTGGACTGCAGCAATTGTCCCTGTCACAAAATGGCCGAGGAATGTCATTCCTTGGTAAGTAAATACGTGTTTTCAGGCTTAATTATTTTCATGGTTCATTTGTAGCACATTCTATTAATTTAACATCATGTCTTAGAATATTCACGATCACCTTCTTGATGCTGCACAATAATCGGTACAATACTTTAAAATACATTATAATCATCTTAATAAGCTTAAATTCAATGCTTTGCATTATTTTCCTTTTGAAAATCTTCATGAACTTTTTGCATGCATTTAATTATTTTTCTTATTTTTCTTACCATTCATCCAATAATTTTTACGTTTATTTTACGCAGTTTCCTGTTCAAAACACTAACATTTTTCCTTGAGTAAAACAAATTGCTCATTCCAAATTCTGAACTATTTAAACGCTCATACGTTTTTAAAACATCATCATTTTTGAACTTCATTTATTGAATGATATTCCGAACTTTCTTCGGAATATCATTATATTTTTTGTTTCACATCTATACCGAGATTGAATGTACAGTATACACGTAGCACGTTTGATATTAAATCGACATTCTTCTTTCGATATTCATTTGATTTTCATTTGCTCTTCATTCGTGGTAATTGCCGATCAATTAACCATCAATCATAAGTGAGCTTCTAATGCCTTATAAAAATTTCCATTGACTGTGCTTTATTATTCTTTAGCGATCGTTCAGACCTTCATTTTATTCTTATTCCACTGGATGTTTGTATACGGTCTTGTGGTGCAAATAAAAAGATTTATTTGATTAATTAATAGGACTAAAATGATTAATTCAATAACATCAACTCATCTTTCAGATTAAGATATCTCCATTTAATTGATACAAACCTGACGATATTCCATTCAGATTCAGTTATTATAAATGGTTGAAAGGCTCAGAGTTAATTTAATAATCTAATCCCATCAAAGTGTTGCTCTCAAAAATTCGGTTTCAAATTTATACGAATAATTTCAAATAAAAAGACGTCACAGATTAAAATTGTAGCTTGTTTGTCATGTTTAGCGTGGTAACAATAACGCTCATGCCAGTTTATCACGAACAAAATCATGGTTTCAGTGAAACTGAGCCTTTGAGATGAGAAGGGAAAGCAGCGTCTCAAGAGGTCACTTTCAAGTGATAACAAACATGCATGAACTCTTTAGAGAGCAATGCGCCCTCTGTTGTCGAGCTTAGCAGCCAAACAAAGATCCCTCGCACCACAATTTATCCTCCCGAAGAAAGTAAAGTCTTTGTCCGAACGCATTCCAAAACATCCATCTTGTTTCGCAATCTAACAAAAACATGTCCGAAATCCTAAATACTGCTCCCGACGATTGTGTGATAAAGCACCGTTTTAAAACCTTGTGTATACAACATGGGAAATAAATCTGTTGTGCATAATGAGAAATAAATGCAAATGGTGTTTTCCCCCCTTAAATGTTAACGGTTAAATTACACTAAAAATTTGTCCTTTCATTTTTACGTGCTAACGCCTTACCCATTCACGCCATTAATTTTAGAGTGCATGTAACCCATCCTACACACGGCCAAATTTATTTGCTCTTATTTTGTGAAGCTAAAGAATGAAGGTACATCCATCGGTCAACAGCTCTAGGTCGTTTGAAGGCTCCCGTCTAAATACTTGGACGGCTCATTTAACACGTTCGCATTGTTAACTTGCGCTCAGCCCCGTTTGACGGCCTCAGACGCGACCAGGTGAAGAGTTCGATAACAAAATGTTTGCTTGGTAGCGTTCCCTAAATATCAGAACCCTTTTAAAATGCTACCACGATATGAACAAGGCAGGGGAATGGATCGAGATAGCCCTTCCCAAGTACAACTAGGGAAAGATTCCTATCTATGCCTCAGAGCTCTTGAAACCAAGTTGAGAAACGGTGAACAGCTTACGAGATTTCCTCATTTATGTGCTCAAGTTAAACGAACTATTTTTGGGAACCTTAGTTTTTTCATTATAAGTATACCAATTTTTTTCATTGAATTTCTGTGTTAAAGTTTCTTAAAATTCGATAAGGCTAATACATGGAAACGTTGAACAGGAAATTTGCCTTTCGTTATCGATAGGGCTTTTTAAGAAGGGTCTTTTGCACTCGACGCTGTATCGAAGCTTGTTAACTTGTCGGCTTTTCGTGAGGTAAAGTAGGGAAAGCTCTTTCATATTCAAAGAACCCTTGTTCAACTATTTTCTAAATAAATAGACAATGGATATTTGATTTTGTTCGAGTCAGGAATTTGAATTATGGAATTAGATTTTAATTGTGGTTTTGATTGTATACAGCATACAGTATAGCATTTTTCTCGTTCATTATGAAAAAAATCAAGACGTGACAAAGCTCAAGTATATGTTTTCGTAATCCTTTACCTTTGCCTTCATTGAATAAAATTTATATAGTCTCATTTTAACAGAGAAATAATATCAGATCATTATTATAATTATTTATATAAATGATAATCAATATCATTAGCTCAATGATTACTCAAATTAGAGGTAATTTTTACGCAAATGAAGTGCCACGTGTATAGCCAGCTATGAAAGTTAGACATGTAATTATTAATCAAATGCATTAAAAAAAAACGAGGAATTCAGCAAATCTGCTCTCATTCGGGATATTATCTTATAGACGACTTACTGGAGTGACTTGCCCATTCTTAAGTCTGCATGAGATCGCTTCAAACAATCATGTATCGCTCTAGCTGCAATTAAGAGCGTCGCAAATCCGTGACCAATTAAATGTATGCAGACAGAATAATTGATACACCGTCAATCATGCATCACGACAGCTGCAGTGAAGAGCGGCACTAATCCGTGACCAATTGAACGTATGCCGACATGATAATTCGCTCGCTCAGGCATTGTTCTCATGGCCACAACTAATTTAACTTACGAGGGCACATTCCCAGACCTCAATTAATCTAAAAACTCAACGAATGAGAACTTTTAATGTTGGTTTTGAATATTGTGGCGTTAAATGATGCTATCTTAGCTGCGATATCTTAGCTGTGATCAAACCTTTGCAAAGATGAATATATTAGGGTGTTCAACAATTTACGATATGCATACAACGAGGTTTAGTTCAGCTAGAGAAGATTACAAAATATTATTTATTTATTTTTCATTAAAGATAGCTTTGATGGAATCTTAATTCACTTATTCATTTCAAGTTATTTAGACGCATTATACTTCCTTCAAAACACATCTTTTCGGATTGTTGTCACTGACCTTGTTAACACAATAAACACATTTTTTTCAATCGGTTTTTTCGTGCATCTCACTATTTTTCCTATTCCAGTAAGTTCCGTTACCTTCTTTTACTAGGCTTTATCATATCGTGTTTAATGAATTATATAATTAGAACCTTGCTGATTTGCCAGATAATTGTCAGAATACCTAGAATTCCTTGTGTAAGACATAATGAATTTTGAAAAATTTCCATTTGATCAGTTCGTGAAGAAAACTAGCATTCTTGAGACCCATCAATGGAGTTGGAAGTTTGCTTTAGCCCATTTTCTTTGCCCAATTCTGGTATGAACTCTTCTTAACTGATAACAACATTACAGTGTTGTTTCTTTCTCTTTCCAGGTGCCATAGGTAAGTGCATTCAGTATCCTGACGGACCTTTCTCTTCAGTAGTCGCAAAGCTAAGCGGAGCTGCATGGGACCTCCATTAGCAGCAAGTCTAACCAGATATGTAGTTAGAATTAATTTAATTTTCCATTTTCTTATATGTCTATTTGACTGACAAAAAACTGATTTTAAACTGTCTTGAAGGTTCCAATTAAATTTGTAAAATTTAATGAACCTTGAAGTTTCAAAATATGACCCCATAGTATAAGTTGTCTCTTGTCACAATTGTACCATGAATTAAAAGGTTGCATGAGGTATTGAATGCTCAACCATTAACTATCTATTATTTGTTTCAGGCGATAATTTAAGTCTTATTAATTCATAGTGATAACTCTTGGTGTATCTATAATTTTAGCGTAGTGACAGTATATGAAGGTAATTCAAGTGTATGAAACAAGGTTAGGTGAATGTCAAATAATCACCCGGAAATTATTAAAGACTGATTATTGTAATTCTAAACTAAATTATCTCCAATACGACAGGCACACGATACGTAAGTAACACCATTCCCTCACGTTTGGGTATAACTGAAATTTATTACCAACATAAATTTGTTAATCTTCATTCACAAGTGACCTATTAAATTGTTTTAATGCGTACATAATGGAATATTTATAACGTTATCATCGTTATCATGATTATTACGGCAATGCGTATTTATGTCTCGCACTCGCTTTTATTTATTTTAGAGAAGCTACAAATCATTATGGAGAATATTGCGAATTTTTATTCTATTATGCGAGTGTACGGAGCTCGGCCGCGGTGATAATGGCTCATGACTGGCCAAGAAACCATTACAGAAGTATTTCATGTCAACTAAATGGCAGATTGCTTCAGTAAGAACGTGTCTAAGCGCGGCTAAATATTTCAACGAGGCTCAGCGAACAGGTTTTTCAGAGACAACTTCTATCAATCGACGCTTCTTGTCGCCATAGGGCCGCAATTGGCCACTGGTTTAAAGGCCATAAAGGCCTCATCGCGTCTAGGTTTATTTAAACATTGTTCATGGATCGTCGAGTCGCTACTGAGTCGTTATTTCTTTACTCCTGAACTTGCACAAAGCTGTAAGTACCTAGCCAAGACGAAGCATAATGCCCACATAAATTCCTCCACAATGAACCTCAAACGTATAATTACTTAATCGTTAAAACGCTAGTCTAAGTATTTTCGTCGGTGCCTCAACACGATATAAACTGTCTGGATTTGACCTTAAATTGCGCTTACAACGGTATCAAACCGTAAAATAATACGAGTATTCTTCTTATGAATATAATGTTTGTGTAAATTAATTTGTAATATGATATTTACGCTTGCGTTGCATTTAGTTTGACTTGGAAATTAAACTCATACATAAATACATACTGAGCACTTAAAAGAAATTAAATCCTTTCGTAGGCTATACTAAAGTAACTGCACAGCCGATTATAGCATAGACCTGCCGGCTGAGTTACTAGATCCGTAACATCACATAAATTTCCCGAGCGTATGTTCCTAACAGGCCATCAATACAAGCTCAATCGCGAGAAATATTTAAGGGCATCACTAAGAGAGAATAAACAAGCCTCGGAAAAGCAGCTTTATAAATCGTGACCCAGGGAATTTGTGTTTACTTCCCAGCAATATGTTCTGTCGGTAGCTTCCGAGACGACCAGCCTCCATTGAGACCCAGAAAAATACAGGATGGGGTGCAAAAATGTGCACCGTAGTCCGAGAAACGTACAAAATTTCTATAGACTCTAAAATTCCAGTTTAACGTAAATACCTGCGAGTATGTGAAATAAATGAAAAACCTAATTTCATATTCACTTATGTAATTGAAAATCTACGTGACTTGTGCATGACCCATAAAACACCTTCTACGCCTCGTATGTTACCGGTGAATTAATATGAGAAAGTCAACAAACGCTAGGATCTTGTGAAGAGGGCAAAGACTGTAAATATATTTTGGTCGGGAGCTAATGGGCCGAGGGTAACGTAGAGACTCCATAAAGAATGCTTGTGCTATATGGCCGGCAAGATATCTGGCTTTTCAGAGAGAGATAGAGACCAGGTTTATTAGCAGAAAATGTGTCTATCGCAGGAAGCGAGGAAGCCTGAAGATCGGAAGCTAGGGAAATTTAGCCGCTCTGAGGCCGATGACGACTCCTCTGATTTACTGTCATTGAGGTGAAAGACAAAAAGTTTTACATTTCCGAATTCTGGTTGTTGATGTGCGTCGATGGCTTCCATATAAATATACTGAGCGCCATTAGAAATGAAAATTTATGAGGTCATCATTATGTTACGATGCAATCAAAGTCTAAAATCTTTTCATTTTTAAACCAAAATTTGCAATTAAATTGACATTATGAAATTAATTACTTAATGTTCGTTTTGTTGGCATGTGAATTCTTATGCATTTACAATACATTCATGATAATAAATCCTTAATTGGGGAGCTTATATTATGTCTCTTTAAGTTCATGTATCATAAGTGAAATGCAATATCCAGATTCCCAAAGATTGCTTTAATTACACCATTATGCGTTCAAATTAACCCTGCTAGTCCCCACAGCTTTCACAGAAAATGTTCCATAACAGCACAGGGATAGAGCAAATATTCGCGTAAATCATTGAAACTGACGTGTCGTTCTCTGTGATTTGGTTGGGCATATTGCGAGTTAGGAAGTCGTTAGAGAGGTTGTGGACATGCGCAACGCGCTGTCTTCAGTGAGTGCGGCAACTGGAGCTATTCCAGGGTAAGCTGAGCCGACACTAGCCTCCCCTTCCAAAAAAACTAGTATGGGCTAACAGTGCTCTTTCAGTGGCCGAGGGTTAGACGGCTGTGATCATACTTCTATTTTCATTAAGGTTAGCAGCCGTGATGGCCTGCCTACATACCATGCATTGATCGCAGTAGTCCAGCCAAAAGCTTGCCTTGCTCGGCTCGGTTGCGGTCGCTTACAGTCGTTCTGCATCGATCGCACCGAGCGGCACATTCAGAGTCTGGCTTGCCAAAAATCTGCACGCCTCACTGTGAACTTGCGTGTGTGACACACGCGTCGCACACGCCATGCAAACTGGACATGCATTGCTAGGCTCCCGACTCATCAGTTGAGCGACTAATTCTGTAACCTCTTTAGTTTTTAAAACTTCCGAGGCTATAAAGCTGTTTTTCCGAGGCTTGTTTATTCTCTCTTAGGGATGCCCTTGAATATTTCTCGCGATTGAGCTTGTATCGATGGCCTGTTAGGAACATACGCTCGGGAAATTTTTATAAGATTTATTACACTTATGGTAAGATGAGTGGGTTAAGGATGAAGCTACTTAATACACAATATTTTAGTAATAGATGGCGAACCTCAGTTGCACTAAATGAGAGCTAAACGTCGTCATAATAAGTTATCACATGAATCGCCACTTAACGTAACTCTTAATGAGGGTTCATTAATTGAAGATTATGAATTTTTTATTTGCTTGACGCCCAGTATGGTGTAAACTAGTTTTGTTATGGCGTAACTATATTCGATTCTGACAAACTGATGAATTTATATTATACAATTTTGCAAGGACTCGAGCATTTTAATATAGTACGAATGACAAACTGATAAGTTTTGATGAATTTATATCATATAATTTTGGAGGCATTCAAGCAATCAATTAAAGTAACGACGTGAATAGATTGACTGCCTTGGATTATTGTATTTAAAAAGTTTACAGAAAATAAACAATTGTCAGTGGTGTCAATTTAATGTAATGATAACTGAGCCAAGATTTGTTGCAAATTGTCCATTTGTGCTCCCCGCTCACTAAATATAGTGTTGCTGCGCGATAAACTGCAACATTCGAGGCTATTGGCACTCGTAAATACCCTCCATCTCTTTTCAATAAATCAATGAGGCTCACAGAAGCAATGTTCTACGCTCCACCGACTATCGGCTCAGAAGCCACGGCAACGCGTCTCTGAAATATGCGATTGAGTTGCTCCCAAACGTCTTTAAATTTATACCCAGACTCGTGCGATGGATGGCAGACTTATATATAACGCCTGGAAGATATATAGAGCACAACCATTTAATTCTGTTCTCATTGAACTCTTATTTTGGTATAATTATTATTTATTTAATTATTCCGCTTATTGGGCAAGCGTAAGTTGGAGGAACTAGTTGCCTCGACTTTCAAGCAAACTCCAATTTTAGAAGCAAAATTCTTAACAAAGCGATTATATCATTCGAAAACGCATTAAAGTATATTTTCCGGTAAATTTCTCTCGTTTTGGCAATTTCAAAATTTGAAAATCAATGTTCACTATTTTCAGGGCCCAATTTTTGTTTCAAAAAATTTATTCGACGGGGAAAAATGTCGAAAGCGTCAAAAGCAACAAAAACTTTGAACGTATCATATGCAATTCGAAAATCTTGATAATTTGAAACTCTTGCTGCACTTATCTATGTGATTACAATCATCAAGTTTCAATTTTTTATGAAACTTTCAAAATCACTTCCAAAATTGCGAATAATATTCAAGGTCTGTGCAAATAATTTTCAAATCTTGTCCTATATTTCTGAACTAAAACCGGCAACGAATAAATTGCTGGCTAATAGTAAAAACATTCACAACTTACTGCCCAATAATCTTCAACTTAATTTCAGATGCATTGAACAAATCTCCTCTGATTGCGAATAAAATTTTACTTCAAGCGTGGAATTTGCACATAATTTATAATACTTTTGGTTCAAATTTCTCGCTCATCCATTTGCAGGCAATGAGTAAGCCTACTTCGAAGTCACCGTCCCGATACTAATCGCACAATTAAATCGGAATCGCACTGGGCGATCGAATTTTTTGTCTCATTTCTTGCCCATTGACGGTACCTTAAAAACAACAGGATGATGCTACTAATGAGCCTCCCAGGTTGATACAAGATTACGATAAACGAGCGAAATTTATTGATGAGCTCGGCTCAGTCTGACAAGCTTTTACGGTCGATATTCTATAGCCGAGTTTTCCTTTTTGAATTGAAATCGAGAAAAAAATCCACAAAAATAATCAATTCATAAAATAAAAATTACCTCCTAAAACTCCCCGACGAATAATGTAGATTTAGCATCCACAAAGCACAGAACTAAATTCTATAATTTTTCAGTCAAACAATAAAATGTTCGTCGCATTTTCCGGCTCATGCGCTATAATCAACAACGTTCATTCCCAGCCAGCCGAGAAGTGCCTCATTCGGATCACAAAATATTGTCTTTAGGGCCATTCAGTTTCTCTTAGTCATGAATGCTGTCTGGCACTTCCAAATCATAAAGCAACTCAAATTCGTGGAAAATATCTCCACTAAACTTTAAATCTGCACATGCAATCGAGCTATCCAGCACAGCGGTCTTCTTTATCATGCATTTTCAAAGCATATCACCCATTCATTTCGTCGGATGCCATGAATTCAATCACTAGCGATGGAGGATGCCAAATCCACACAATTTTGCGTTTGTCCATAAAGTTGGCGGAATCCCCTGGGCTACATTAGTATTTCAGAGCAATATACTGCCTGGCGCATCCGATGGGAGCAAACAACATCCCAGATGACATAAACTAATGAGATTTAGGCGATCGCCGAGGCTGTTTGTTCCTCCACTTATTTACATTATGAAATGTGAGCGTTCGCTCGCAGAAACGCTGGAAGAGCGCACTAGCGTAGTTTTTTTGTAAGTTTTCTGGACTTCAGTTTTGCAAAAAACTAACATCTGTTTCTGAAAAAATTCTTCTGAACTGAAAGTTTTTAATGTGGCTACATACATTAATTGTGTCAATGTAAACTTTACACGTTTGATTCATTCAATATAACTCAATTAATAACACATGCAATCAGTTACACAGAAGGTTTTAGCTTAGGAATCATGAGGTCATTTACTTAGTTTACTGCCACAGTTTCTTGATGAAGATAAGCCATCAATTCTTAACAGAATTTTCCAACATGATATCAGAAGAAAGAGAGTTAGGTAGGTAGCTCTGACACAAGAAATTTAATACATGGCTCCTTTCCAACTTCTCCCCCCCCCCCCCCCACCCTCGAGGCCATCTCCCCACCCTTCCCCCGACCTCAGCGGCACGTCGCGGCAGCGCAGCTCAATTCGCACATTTTTTCTTAGCTTTACTAAAAAGATTTTCAGTTATTTTCCTCATTCTTGAACGCTACGGGAATTTTTCAGTTTGCAGCTATGAAAATTTAATTTAAGTATTAGTTAATATTTACTCTCGAAATCATTTGTACATTTGTCTCGCCCGTTATGATTAATAATACGGGAAGAAAGAACAAAATTTCCAATTTGCAAATTTGTGTTATATTTTTACAGGTTCAATTTGTTGATTTCTTTTATTTGCTCTTGAATATTGATACGATGTGAGTCATTATTATGCGCTTAAGCCTATTCCGTGAAATAATAGTATAAATAAGTAAGAAAATGTGTGTTAATATTTTTGCGAGTGTTTAATTACTTGCACCTCGTTAATTGATTTCAAATTAAAGTTATCATTTTCATCCTGATAATTTATAATTTTTCGTTTTATTTGTAAATCCAATCGAATAGTGAATGATCATTAAAATGGTTTACAGGTTTCCTTGAAATCAAATGAAGTCTATTTATTATTGACAAATAATTTTTACAATTTTCGATAGATGTTTTTCTTGGTGTCTGAACTGTGGATATTTTCCATTTTTGAAATCGCATAATAATTTTTTCTAAATAAAAAATGACTTTTCAGGTTCATTAACTTGTTAATCTCCTTCTGTAACTTGTTCATACATACAACATAATGGCTTAGTTAATCAGTGTTAACTGAATTTAATATCAAATAAAACGTCGTTGCTCCAGGCTATATTTAGTAACATAATTTGACAATTTCTCAACATCAGAAAATAATTTTATCATGTATGGCACTCACGCTAAACTTTGTCTTTTAACCTAATTTTAATAGGCAATATCGTACTTATATGTATATTAGAATTTTATGAGAGATAACATTAATCAAGCTGCCTGCACAACATAACTCCGGTGTGAATAAAAACCAACCGGTATCAAAATTTTGGTCCCCGTTTATTCACCGAATAACCTAAATTCACTTCAAAATTTCTTCAATATCCAGCTATGTATCATCACTGCACAACAACTTAAATAAAATAGTTAGAATGTTTGCCTTACATTTCAGAAAATTCTAGCTAACTTTAAGCTATCATATAATATCGCATGATTGCATGAAAACATAAGTAACGTGACTTCTAATATTAGATAGCATTATTATTACAGCGAATTATTCGTTGAACTTACATTTGTTATCTTTTCATGTAATTTAATAAATTAATTTTCGCCCCCTTTCTCAGAAAACCAATGGCGCGGCTTAGCAGCAAATTGGAACGGTCTGCCTTGGAGTAAGTATTCTATAAAATCATATTATATTACTGCCTAATACTATATAGCTATTTAATATTATATTATTGAATAATATCATATTGCTGTATTAGAAAAAATTTTTGTACTATATGAGCGTGAATTTCATGTCTAGCCTCGTTGCGCCTCAAATTAAAATTTGCAAATAAAGCAATATTGATAAATCATCCTGCCAAAATAATTCGTGTCCTTCATTGATTTCTTAAATTAAACCCATAAAATTCAAGAATATTTGTAAAAATAACCATGTATCAAATAATTTGAATATTTCGGTGATTCGAAGTTAACGTAACGAGTATAAAATGTTTGAAAACATTTGCTGGTCTGACGCAAAAAGCTAAATGGTAGCTAAATATTCAGATGAAATGCAAGCCGAAAAGTTCTTGGAAAACGATCAACTTGAACGATTAAATTATTATGACTATCTGTAAAATATGAGAAATTTGCAATTTTTCGGTACTAAATCCCAAGCACTTTGGGTAGTTTTTGATTGATCGTTGGAATAGCCGGATTATATGCACTACTTTATTCTACATTCAGTTAACATGGCCAGAAAGTGAGCTATAGTTGTTAAAGCACATCACGGATCTCGAGGACAAATTAGGTCGACGAGCAAGCGCAGGTCACATTACCGAGGCTGTGGAATGGGATGCAAGAGACCTGGGAGTTATCGTTCACTTCGGCTATGGTAAACCTGGGAACCCTTTCAAGGGCTCTAACAGAACGCTTGAAACTGAGTGCAGACGAGCTCTGGGACGAATTTAACGCAGTTCAGGTACCCCTAAGCGTGCTATAGGATCGCTAAGCTTGCATGTAGATACTTTTCTAAATGAGTCTCAGAATTTAAGGATGCATTTCCAAATCACAGAAAGAAATGGTCAAGTAATCCTCAGAAAAAAATCACCCAGTCACATGCATTCAAGTTTTTGCCTGGTCATGAGTTTTGAAGAAGGCACTTTTTCCTTAAACAATCAGCTCTGGCTTTCCTATTGTTTTTTTTTGGAATTTTTTTCAAGGTTAGTGACGCTGTTTTTGTTCAACCCGTTCGGCACCATAAAGTTTTTCCTCTCGCTTCACACCGCGATAATTGTAACCACATAAAAGGATATATCTGCAGGGGTTTAATTTAAAATTCATAGATCTTATTTATTTTAATGTTAGGTACTCTCTCTTGAACTAAATTAATTTTTCTGTTGGCTCAACGTCGAAAGATTATTAAAAATCACTCTTGTTAATGTAAACATATTTCTTAGTGAGGTACGATATTTTTTTGTCGCAACCAATGCATTTAGTCGTGGCCTTGAAAGGCTTAGATCATGGGAGTAAAACGAGTTTTTCACCCTAACACATGGAACGCTGAGGACTAAGTGGTCATAAAAGATTTTTGTTCCATAGAATTTTAGACGCAATACTAGAACCGATCCATCAGGATCATGTTTAGATAATCGTATATACTAGAGCATCGCAACATAATGCTATAAGAACATTTGTCGCCATCGATTTAAAAAAAAAACGCTTTTCGAAAATGCAAGTCGGATTGCCTATGAACAGTTTCAATGGATCCCGTTTCTTCATGCGTATGATTGACGTTCAAAACTGTCATTGAGTTTAGCCTTGTGCTCGATTACTGCGCAAATCTTAATTTGAAACAGGCAACCACACATCTTGCTGATGACACTCAAGACTGAGAGAGTGCGTGACGCCAGTGATTAGGCACCTTATTGGAGATTGCTAACCTTTTATAGCGAGCAAATTTGCTGGGCGCTCTTTAAATGGATGCGCTTAGTTTGATGTATGGCTCATTTTGAGCAGCCAGGCTCTCTGGGCCTAGAATGATCGAACCTTTTCCATCTCCGGGTGGGTGTAGACCTTTCGGGAAATTCGGGTTAAAATTAAAATAAAAACTGTTTTAAAAAATATTTTTTTGTCATTTGAGAATTTTAATTTAGGTAAAATTCTAACACGAAGATTACTTACTATTCTGTCATTAAAATTCGCGCTATATTCCACTATCAGTCATTTTAACACGTTCATTTCGCATATCCAATGTATCATTTGTAGCTTCATCGTTCATGCATCGCTTTCGCATTAAATTAAAAGAAACGTTACAGTCAAGTCATAGTTAACAAGGTTTACTTTTATTATGCTTTGTTATATGCGTGCATTTCATGCTATCGGAATTTTTATTCATTAACTGCAAGTTTCAAGGAAAAAAGATCAAATATTGTAACATCCTGTATTTCAATTTCAAAGCTTTTCATGTATTCCTAAAATAATAACGTGAAAACAGTAGTTGAAATTCAGGCACATGTAAATCCCCTTTTCTGTTAATCCTTTTTTTCTTAAGAAATGGAACCAAGCCGAATAATGAATGTGATTCAACCTAAATTTATTCGAATAATTTCAAATTTTTCTGCGTAACGTTTGCATTCTTAGAAACCTACAATCAAAAATATACTCCAGGCAAGATCATTTAACATCGAATCATGTATTTTTACAAGGAAATATTTCTATATAGACATTCCTTACATGAGTAACAAGAGAATTCACATACATATAGGATTTAACAGAACTCACCACAAATATAGGGTTAAGCAGTCCGTCTGATTTTACCGTATAGTTGAAGGTTGCCAGCCACACTCACCACTTCAGAGCTCAGGGTTCGAAGCTCTTGACATGGTGAATGTAGACATTGCCTCGGGAAATTCGGGTTAAAATTAATGTAAAAACTGTTTTAAAAAAATTATTTGAGTCATTTAATAATTTTAATTTAGGCAAAATTCTAACGTGAACATTAGTATTCAGTCATTGAAGTTAGCGATCTTCCTCTATCAGTCATTTTGTTTCGCATATCCATTGCATCATTTGTAATTTCATCGTCCATGCATCGCTTCGTATAAAATTCAAAGAAACGTTACCGTTAAGTCATAGTTAACAAGGTTTACTTCTAATATTATGCTCTGTTATATATGTTGTTTTACAGCTTTCGGGAATGATTTTTAGTCATTGCCTTCAAATTTCAAGGAAGAAGGATTAAAATTTTGTGCCATCTGGTATTTAGATTTCAAAGTTTTTTAATTATTTTTAAAATAATGACGAGAAAACAGTACAAAAAGTGAAATTCAGGCCCACATCAATGCCACTTTTCGCTAATACCTTTTTCTTGAGGACTGCTTTTTCTTCGATAAATATTTCGAAAACATATGAATTTGGAGTGGCTCTCAATGATGGGAAACGTACATGTGTAGATAACAATTTATGGTGTTTATTTACACTGTTTATTTCATTGAATAATTTATATTCCTTCAGAGTTCGAATCGATAAAACAAGCTGAATATTGATTTTGATTCAACCTAAATTGCGAATAGTTTCAAAATTTTTCGCATAAAGATCGCATTCTTAGAAACCTGGAATTATATATATATCCTCCATGCAAGATGATTTTATATCGAATCATGAATTTTTAAGAAGTAAATTTTGCTATATATACATTCATTACGCGAGTGACAGTAGAACTCGCATATATATAGGAAATTTTACATAAATCACCCTTATATTTTGGGTGAGTTCTGAGGTGAGTATATACATTATACTCACCCTTGTATATAGGGTTAAGCAGTCCGTCTGATTTTGCCGTATAGTTGAAGGTTGCCAGCCACACTCACCACTTCAGAGCTCAGGGTTCGAAGCTCTTGACAATCCACAGGCCGGGTAATGGCGGGGCCTTGACGTATGGCATCCGGCAAATATCAAAGCCTGATTGAGCTGCAAAGAAAGCTTCTGAGCTCTCGGTGCCTGCCGCGCCAAGAAGCAATTGAAAAGACTTATAAGCTCTGAAATATTCTCAGGTTCTTGAAAAGTAGTAGATGCTAATGTATTTTGGATAGTTAGTCTTGAAAGTCGAAAATAATATCAAGTAAAAAGAGAAAAATGTAAATTTTTTGGGTGAGGTTAGTAGTAAGAAAATTAATTTTTGAATTTGCGTAAAAACTAGTTATATTTCCTCGCTGCAAATACAGTACATTGGATTGTGTTTCTATTTCTAATTCATCCATGGAAATAATACATAATTACCAATGCCAATGGAAATGAAATTGAAAATTCACTCAAAGCTAGAGATAAACGTTATTAAGATAAGTCTTTTCGGTAGTTTTTATTAGTCATTGCATTGACCAAGCTCCATTATTCAGAAGAAATTTTCTAATAGGGAGTTCTTATTAGTCATTGCATTGACCAAGCATCAATCAATTATGCATTGACCAAGCTTCACTATTATTAAGAAATTTTTTCTAATAATATTCATTCCGCAGGTCCGAACGGGTGTCCCCGGCGCCGGGGGAGGCAGACCTACACCAGATTCCAAACTCTGGAACTCGAGAAAGAATTTCACTTCAACCATTACTTGACGAGGCGACGGAGGATAGAGATCGCACACGCCCTCTGCCTCACAGAACGACAGGTGACTACATGTGGTTATGCCGAGTTATTTCAGTATACCTCACTTTTTAATAGGAATTGAATATACTGCGATGCTTTAGAATGATGCTTTAGAGTAAAATGTATGAGGGATTATAAGGCGAGAAGAGAAGTTGCAAAAAAAGGTTGCAATGAATTTGATTCACAGGTAATCGTTTTGAGTAAATTTTAATTTAAAAATCAGTTTTTGCGCTGTCAAGCGAAATGAAATATGCAAATTTTAACTAAAATCATTCGGTACTTCGTTAATAAATGGTACAACCTTTCCTTTAATTTTTTTAGTGCGATTTTTCGAATTGCAATGATTCGTTCAAACAATATAATACGTTCTTCTGATTTTTTTGAGCCTTTACTTCGGTCTGCTGACTCATAACATTCTTAAAAACAAAATTGTTAGAAGAAAAATTCTAAGCTATGACCCAAGAGCCATCGTGACACTCATTATCAGTGGATTATCTTGAAGAGAAACTCTCGAGAAGAAATCAAAGAACAAAAGTGCGCGTATTACTCGCGTAATAAAGAAACTTGAAGTTTAAGGCTCCACCTCCATCTGCTTATGAATTATTAGCGATGTTATCGTCTGTGCACGCAACTTGTGTCTCGAGATCTGACGTCTCTATCTTCGCTTAAGACTCAATCGATTCGATGATTCTTTGAGACTTACAAGAAGACTGTATGATCGTAAACGATCAGAGGAACTGCTCAAAGATATTTTGTCAAAGTTTTTAACTTTTTATTTGAATTTATCACATCATCAGACAATGGGTAAACGTTTTCTCTGAAAATATTTTCACAATATAGTTTTATATAACGACCATCTCACTCAAACTACTATCTCTTCCATGTCAGAAATCATCACAAATCCTTTAAAAAATTCAAGCTGATCTCATTTTCAGCATTTTCAAAAAGGAGACAATCGTATTGCAGCTTAAAATCAGAATCTTTTAAATTTAATTCATTTCATTCCTCATTCATTCTTTTCATTTTTATTCAACTCATGCGACGGAAATTGGAAATTTAATTGAATTTTTACCGTAGATATTGAAATGAATTTTATGACGCTTTTCCTCCGTGGATTTGTCGCGTGTTTGCCGAGCAGGAAGGTGTGAGACGAGGGCGTCTGTGCCGAGATATTTTACGATGTCTTTAGACGTCGTAATGACCGATAGCGAGCTTTTTAGCTGCAAAGCGGCAAATATACGAGGACCGAGCCTGGACAACTTGTGATACCTACTTATGATGATGACTTGTTAATGGATAGATAACTTAAGAAATTTTGCACCGAGGGCCACCGTTATCTGATGAGTTCTATAAAGATGCTTCTAATTCAATAGAGATAATTTTTTATAACCTATCATCTAGCGAGATTTTAGTTCAAGATTTATTTAATAAGAAAGATTGCAAGCTAGCAGAGCAGAATAGAATCTTCTTGTTTCATGAAGCAGCGGCGTCACGCTGAGCGAAGATCAACTAATTAAAAAAATCAAGAGGCTTCATGAAAAAATTATAATTCATTCCAGAAAAATACAAAAAGAGATAGTATTATAGTTCGAATAGTTTATTTAATGATTTAGACCAATTAATATCTCTCTTTAATGGTTTCAATTAAGCTTTCAAATTGACTATATAAACCAAACTTGACACTATCTATAGCATAACAATGTTCACAAAAAAATGCTAAGCGCCGTGTCTATAAAAGTGATGTTATGGCTCTCTTGAGCGCTCCCAAATGGCACTATTTGGCCACTGTTTACGTACTTGTGGGCGCATATTTGTCCATTTTAGTGTTTATAAATGAGTCGCGGTGACTTTTTTACTCCGAGCCCAGAGATTTATAGTGAAGTGCTGCGTCATCACGCATTAGTCAGGGTAGTCCCGGGATGGAAATTAGCCTGCGATGACATGCAATCTTCTCGGCGCTCTGAACCTAAGCAACGTACGTACGTCTGCGAGGCCTTTGCCCTCCGCTGAACTTTATTACATAGCTCACTCAGAGAAATTTATCCGTCTTTGTCCAAATATCGATGTATTTTTGCCCTTCTTTGGTTCAGTTGGGCCCAGTTTTGTCCGGGAAATAGGACGTATCAGTGCTACATGCTGCCAGAGTGTAACTTTTTGACCATATCACCCATTAATTTTTATTAGTGTTCATAAGCTTAGCGCCGAAGAATGAGGAAAATGGATTTGATTTTCACTTACGTGCTCCGTACAAATTTAATGCGGCATTTAATATTGCATAATAACGCAAGCAACGGATAGTAAACGGCAATATATGGTCGAATAAGTATGGTTAATTATACATCATTGCATTATCTTGGACGTAAGGTCATAATGATACAATGATGATGATAACTTCATTGACATCAACGCATGATGAGTTATTAATAACCTATCGGTTTTAATCAATCAATGCATTTAAGGACTGAAAACCTTCATTAACCATTGCGAAGATTCAACATGTTACTCTCAATGAAATATGGACCACTTTTTTTGTTGAACCCTGCCACTTTCCATTCATAATACAAGAAAATACAAATTATGACGTCTTTCCTGTAAATCATTATGGAACTTCAGTACCCAGAGTGTACTATCGCTGATCGATTTAATTTGGCGACATTTTGTAGTTTTGGATTAAGGTAGATCCATTTTTATCAGTCCGTTGAATATTACAAAAATGTTTCAATGGTCGCTCACATTAGCACGACGCGATTTCAAGTAGTAAAATTTAGTTAACCAAACGACAAGCCTGACAAAAATTGGTTAAAACAGATAGATTGTAATTTCGTTACTAAATTTTTGCTTAAGCATCATACCAGTCGGAGTCATAACAACTCCCATAGCTAAATGCTTAACATGGAATAATGTTAATTATTTAATGATATTCTGGCGAAAATATACATATAATTTTTCTTAGCAAAAAACAATATTCAAAAGTTTCCAAGAACGGATCGTCCTTCTTTCCTCACTGGATCTCACATTGCAAGCGCATGTTTTTTTATCAAAGCAGGTGCTGCGAATGAACCCATCGAGCCGATATCGATTATACATTAGTTTACTGTGGGGTTCAGCCCCCTTGCCCCCGTTGACCCCTAGAGATGAGATCCCCTCTCTCCAGCCCTACCCCCCTCCCCTCGTTGTCATTTTCCCCTGGGATAAAATAGCTTGTTTCAAGGAGCACTTGCAAAAGTTCAGGTGATTATAGGGAAAGAGAAGACGTTTTACAACGCCCTCTTCATTGGCTGTTCTGCTCCTCTTTCTAGCTTTGCAAGGAGCGTTGTGCTCGAGGGGTTGGAGGGTTCGTGTTTGATAAGTTGCTACCTTCAATTCTAGATCAATTCTTGATTGATAAAAATCAGGTTTTGGGCCAGCATACTTCGAACTATCATTCGATATACTGCCTTTTCGTATTTTTCTTTTTCTGACGCGTGTCCAAAATATAGTTTTTTTTAAAGAATGTTACATAAAATTGAAAAATTTCGTTATTAAAATGCTAATTATTATTAATTAGGAAATTAAAAAAAAATTCCTGCTGCATGAATGGAATACATTTAAGGAATGCATGATGACGGAAAGTAATGCTTAGAATGGCTGCAAAAAACGTCGCCTCTCCTTAACCATTGACCGCATGTTTCGCTCCCGCGCCGCTCAATTCTTTCTGCGTGGATGCAGACTGATTGCGACAGTCTTGTGACCATTAAAAGTAAGCAAAAGGTGCTCAATGTTTTGCCAGAAGCTTTCTGTCAGGCCGGCCAACATACGACACTGTTTATCAGCTGCAGCAAGACTTCTTTGCGCACACACACTAAAGGCTACAGGAAATAGATGGCGCCTCGTGGCACGAACAGAACGTGCAAGTGTCGCGAATATTTTCTAGCGAAACAGGGGATTTCTTGCTCATCTTGTTTAATGGTTTTCAAGTGTAACTTCTTGTCAGAGTTTGCCATTAGTGTTCCTTATGCTACTCTATGAAGTTCTATGCTTATCATGTGTTACTTTTAGTGGTGATACTAACATGTTTGTTAGAGCAATTAAAATCTCTTCAGTTTCCACGCGGGATTTAAGGTTGCTTTCAGAATGCAAGTCCTGCAAATTTTCAAGATCAATTATAATATGTCCTTCGAAAAACCCAAGCCGGAATTACTGCTAGTGCAATTTCATTCAAAGTTGCGTAGATCTAATTCATCTTTTTAACTACTTCAACAATACTGGAAAATTTACTGTCCGCAATTTGTCATCTCGTTTGTTACTGTTTATAATTTATTCTCCCCAGAATTACTCGCTGAGTTCAAATCTTAAAACATTCTCAGTCACTCCCAGAATAATTATCGTGGCAGCCAAGGAAGATTTCGTGCGCAGAAAAACTGATTCAAAGAAAACGAGAATCTCGGGCGACCAGCGGCCGGAGGGCAAAGGGAGTGAAGAGCGGCTAGTATTAAGAGCTCAATGGTAGAGAGGAAGAAGAAAGTGAAGAGCGGTTCCCAAAGAGCTTAATAGTAGAGAAGAAGGAAGTGAAGAGCGGTTCCTAAAGAGCTCAATGGTAGAGAGGAAGAAGGAAGTGAAGAGCGGCTAGTAAAGAGCTCAACGGTAGAGAGGAAGAAGGAATTGAAGAGCGGTTCCTATAAAGAGCTCAACGGTAGAGAGGAATAACAGCTGAGGAAAGCGAGAAAGAAAGCTCTTAGCGGTAATTGGAACGATGATTGGAGATGGGAATTTATCAAATAAATGACTGCATGATGATGAATAAATTCTTGGAGTGAAGGAGGGAGATGAAAACGAGCAAACTATGGGGGAACAGAAGTAGCGTGCAACTTTATTGACAGATAACGAAAATGAATAACGAAATAAGTATTAGAACATGATAACTTAGATTAAGGCAAAATGCTTTTGCACAGGTAATAAACAGAGTTTATCTTTGCAATAAAATTTCATTAAATACTATACATTTCTGTAAAAGATGGGACGAGGAGATAAATGAAAAGGAAGATGCAAAATTACATACGGTAAAAAACATGGCCTTGCGAAAAGTGAGTAGGCCGTTAGATTCATTAAGCGTCCAATTTCCGTGAACGATGAAAATTTATGGGCTATCGAATAAGCTATGAATGGAATTAATATATGATTATGTATTTAATTAAAAGTTTTCAATTCCGTTTAGCCATCAGAAAAATTCATAATAATGTATTTATGACAATATTCGCCGACGAAATAATTTAACGTCCATTGATATCAACTATTATTTCTTTACGACGTACTCATTTAGTAGAGAGGAGGTGTTCATTTTTCTGACTTCAACAAATCAACAAAGGGAGAGGTCAATGAGAGGTCAATTACTTGCCCTTGCCCTTCCCAGAGCAATGTCAAGCAGTTATCTCATTGAAATGTAAAATTTTGAATGTACTGTATCTGTTATTAATGTTTAAGACAGCATTCTCCAACAGCTGATTTTTTGCCCAAAAATAGACGGCAAAGTAGTTTTACGTCTCAAAACTAAAATTCTTCCATAAAAACGCCAAACATTTCCGAAGTCAGAATCAGTTTTTTTTGTGGTTCAATTAACAATTGTGCATTTTATCTTAAACCACAACCCGAGCGTCTTCCATTGTGAGACAGAAAATCGAAGGCTTCGGCGAAGATCGCTGCCGCCGTTGAAGTGAGACGGCGGTCGAGGGAAGTAAGGCTACAATCAAGGGAGGGTGGACCTTAGACGCCCTTAGGTTGCCAGAAGGTGCTATATTCTTCTCCGTGTTGTTGCCTCTGAGGAAGTAAGGCACTTCCTGCTTCAAAATCTGCCTCACGATAACCAAAGACCACCAGTGCATTTCTTTGCGTTGTTTGGGGAGTAGCGCTGCTGTAGTTGGCTTCATAATATTTAAATGAATCGTCGTAAGGTGTGTGTGATATGTATAAAGGTTCAAGTTAGGTTAGTTTAGGAGTTTCATCATTATTCTGAGATGTCATTGTAATTTTCAAAACCTTCTATTCACCGCAAAATCTTTTAATATCATGTTGAGCTATTTTTTCATAATCCGCCCAAATGAATCGTGAATCATTTCTTACCATATATGGCATCATCAGACAGGACATCCTTAATAAAAGTTCGTCTTAAAGACTAACATCAGATTTTACTCCACCACAAGCAAATATTTTTTCAATAATGTATTAATTATTAAATAATTAATATAATAACATAATTAAAACATTAATAATGATAAAAGAGGATAATCTATTTGCATGTGAGACTGTAATGTTGATGTTAATATTTCAACCAACTAATTCCATATTTTTGTTCGCAGGTTAAAATTTGGTTCCAAAATAGGCGTATGAAGTTGAAGAAGGAGCTGCGGGCGGTGAAAGAAATCAATGAACAAGTGCGCAGGGAACGAGACGAACAGGAGAAAAAGGACAACAAAGATAAAAACAAAGATAACGCCAGCAACAGCAGCAGCAGTACCAGCAGCAACGGCAGTAACGGCACCCCAAACAACAGCTCTACCAACAACAACAGTCATTCACTAAGTAGCAACGGTGGACCTGACACTCCTACCAATCCACCACCCATACATGGTGGTGGGGATATTTCTGGTAGTGGGCTATCAGTTGATGGCAAAATCGTGACTTAACCTTCTTGTCCCGATGAACCAACCATATCGAAAATCACCATCGCATTGCCAGTGGCCATTCAATGTGAAGACCATTTATAAATCGCTGGTGATTTTCGATATGAATCTTGTACGGAGCGCAACCACGTTTGCATTGCGTTTGATCCATGATCGCTTAGGTATATGTTGGTCTAAGCAAACCCTTCAATTGTTGTTCATTTTACTTCATCATCCATCAATGCCATGATAAGAAAAGAAGGGCGATTTATGATAAAGTAGATTTATTATTAGTGTTCGAAGATCCAAAAAATAAAACTACCGCTAGCAGCAGCCATAATTCGAGACTATCAATGTAGATATTTCACTGAAAGTTTCCGTGCAATAATAGAAGCAATTCTGCGCCGCGAAGTGCAGTCTCATTTGCAAAATATATTGTAAATGGAGAGCAATCGGAGGGATTCTCCTTGCGTATATTGCCAAATACCTCTCTTGACGAATTATTAACGCTATATGTAACTTAGATGTCTTACCATAAGTTGTACATTGTCATTTAGGAGCTAAGCTAGAATGATTCATTTTTGCCATCGTTCACGCAGTTGAATTGATTCAGTTAGTATAGAGAGGAATTACAATCCTCTTCGGCAAAACTCCATGTTCTCATAGGATGACTGAATGACCGAAAAATTTTGTCTTATTACCTAGTTTTACTTCAGACCAAAATCGTCACTCAATAGCAAACCAATTTGATCTTCTATTAACATTCCCTTCTTCATTTATTCATAGTGAGTTTGGGCGTTAATGAGAGCGTGTCACGAAATAATAGAATTGATTTCAATATTGCATCAGTTTGTATTGTCTTCAAGTATTTATTTTTGTGTGCTCTACTTTTTTGACCTATGAAAATTGAAATATATATTGTAGGATATCTCGCATCTACAAATGAAAATTAGAACATTTTAAAATTAGTCTGACAACCAAATTATCACCCATTGTAATTGAATTTTTTTTTGGCAAATCCTATAAGTTTTCTTGATAAAAACCGGGTTCTGTTTTCAACTCGGAACTCTTAAAACAAACATGAATTCTTGCCGTGGAGCTGTGGCCGAGTGTATCCATGCTCATGTCAGTGATTTGCAAACATGTATCCAATAGGAACTTTAAAACTTACTGTAATTTTATATGTATGTATTTATTGTGCATTTTAGATTCACAGTAATTCTATTTCAAATGTTGAGTAATCAATATGTTTGTTGTCGTAAGTTGGAAAAGCGTGAAATCTATAAATGAACTGAACGGTTAATTATTGTTTCACTGTGTGAATGTCGAATCAGTAATTTCTTCCCCTTTTCGGAAGTTTGCTTCATAGCGAAATTGCCGTTGAAAAATATATTTTACAGGAATACACTCTTATAACTGCCATGTTTGACCATCGTTATTATAACAAAAAATTATACGTAACTTGGTGTAACAATTAAAGCCTTTACACGTGTATCCTGAAGATAGCTTGCTCATCCAATAAGCTACTTATTTCTAACTACATTTTCGCCTTTATCACTGACCTCCTATCCAAATTTAGTTTGAATATTATTTCATCAGTACAGAGTACCATCATGAATTCCCCGTATAAGTTTTCAAAACTTGATAGTATCCAGAACGTGTCCTTCTTAGCCGTATGTACGTACATTTTCTTCTAACTATAAATGTTGTTCGATAGCTTTAGGGCAGGATATCTCCGTAGTCAGTTGAGGTAAGCTTTCTGCGCAATATAAACATCAAAATGGTTCTAATTTTTACATAGAACAATTACGTATAATGCTTCTTGATACATGTAATCACAAATAGTTTAAATTGCAACCGCGACCATCCTTAGAATTTAGCCAAGCCATGACTTCCACTGAATGATAGTTTAGTTTTGTTGTGCATCTGGGAAAATACAATATTCTTTGACAGTTCTTAATAATCTTAACAATTGATCTGAGAAATATGAACTTTCACTGACCCGTTCGACTAGATTGCGCATTGATTGCCCAATGTATCCATTTCGCTACGGAATAAAAAAAATCTGCTCAAGTCGAAAGTCGTTCTTGGCTACCAACGAGCACCGCTCCACAATCAGGCTACTGAACTTACTTAACTTAATAATAGTCCCGACGTAAATATGTAAATACTTTGTCTCGTCTATTGATAGTTTTATCGTAGCTATGGATTAATCAACGGTTGTTTTTTCTTACATAATTACTAATGATACTCTTATACGTAATTGTCTGTAAGACCAAGGAATTATTGAGAATTTTGGTCAGATATTTGGCAATAATATGATCCAAAGCTAAATTCTCAGATTTTTTAAACAAGAGCCTAACTTCTTTCATACATACAGAATGTTTAACACCATATCCATGAAATGTTACACTGAGGATGTTTCCGTTATTTGTTGACTGATCGATGTAATCGAACCTGCAGATTAAGTTTATGTTATGCAGTAAAATTGTTTGTTCTTTCAATACAACTATATATTTTAGAACTCGGTAGGATTGGTTCCTTCTCTGTTAGCCTGTTATGAGAGAATTTCCATGTTATGTAATTTTGAAATGAGTTCGTTGTGGTCACTCAGTTCATCTCAGAATAGTTTAAAATGTTATGTAGTTGTCATGATTTCTTCTGCTGGTTAGAGGGTAGATTCAATATTTAAGTTGCGAATGGAAATATGGGAGCCGTGCATGAATTTTTTAATGTTTGATGCGGCTCAAATAGTGAGTGTAATAGTTTGTTAATAGGAAAGGGAACCTGCATTACGAAGGAATTTTTTAATAACTCAAGGAAATTGTGCGTACTAAAATATTCGATTAACCAAGAATTTGTAGCTGGGCGCTAAAAATATTCAGTAAATTATATCACGTATTTAAGAAATGTAACTCAAATCCTTGATAAGCAGGAATAATTGTAACTATAATTAACATGCTTTAGAGTAGAATGTGCGAAAAATCAATTAATTAAAATTTTCTTTGCACGAGTGTTCAAAGGAAAAAATGAATTGTGGAACTCTCGTGAAATCTTGCCAGACAAGACAAGAATTTAAGTGAATTTTTTTAACTACTTTGATGAGTGCCATTTTTATTTTTCATGGAACTTCTCACAGTCAAAGACAAAGATACTGTAGATGAATAAAACATTAAATCTTCATTGGTTTTCACAGGCAACATATATAATTTTTGACAAAGCTTCCAATCAGAGGAAATCAATTCCCGGAATAAATCTATACCGTGAAATTTTCTTTATTGAATTTACTCAATGTAAAAATTCCATATATCGTTATTTCGGCTGAATAGGTAATTTCACATTTTTTCTCATATTTGCTACAGGCAATTTTAGAAGATGCTTATCTATCATCATACAGTCCTGACGTGCTGAAATAATTGTCCTATAATGCCAATCGCTCAACTTGAACAATTTTCATACTTTACTGTAAAATACATTTTCCAAAATTTCGAGACAAAATTCATTATTTAAAGTTTTAGAGCTTAAGCAATTGACTAATCGTTATCTCCCGAGTCTCTGCAAATTCACTGTATGTGCTCATGTTGTTGACTTCCGATTTAAGTTGTGTGCTGTGGAAAGGGGTCTCTCTCGAACAGAATTTACTTTGATAAACTTCAATGGGAGTTCTCATATGAACCAGAATATGTAAATTGTAGTCGAAAATAATAAAAGTAGAATGCCAGAAAATATTGTACAAATCAATTTGTGTGTCCTTTCAAACTATTTCGTCGAAATTAATTATTAGAAGCGCCATAATTACAATGTATGTAGAGGATATCTACAGACACTTTCTTATGAAGATATGATTCTTGGACTTTTCGGCCATAATCCACTTGTATTTTTAATGGTCCTGAAAAATTCTTCACGGAATGTGAGGATTAAATTTTGTCCTAAAAGTTGGAGACTTAGCACTTCATTGGAAATTTTTGGAAGCGACCTTCCTTTTTAAAAAATTGTCTGATTGCTGGGAACTTAATAATTTTTTACGAGTGATCCCAGCGAAACATTTAAATTAAATTCTTTGATTTCAGATCACAAAATATAATATTTATGATATTCCCGTAATTTATGGATTTTTTTCTTTTAAAATATCATCCGCCAATCTAAATCATCATAGCTGCATCTGTTCAAGTTTAAAGTTATGTGCTTCCATGTGGCATATGCAGAAAAGTATCAAGATTAAGTTACTTGATTATGACTTGAGATGCCTCAATATTATAAGTACTCATCCGGCATACAACGACTCCAGCGCGATTATCGCGAAGGAAAAAAATAACAACTTTTTCACAATTACCTATACTAATGCAAGCCTCAACGCTTTTATTTATGCTTTTACAGTACGTGATAAAATAACCACAATTTTTCACAAACAATTAACTGCACTAATGCATGCCTCAGCGCTTTTATTTATGCTTTTCGATTCAAGTGTCAATAATTAAAGATAGAGTTGAGCTCTGAAAATTGAGCGAAATAGAGGAGCGTGTGCATCCATGCTCTGTATGTATAGACAGTAATTTCTAAGCGATATTCACTACCATGATAATTTAAATATCTCAATTATAATTCTCATGGTTTTTTCATATAAATAAATTTGCCTGCATGTTAATAGAACTCAGACCTCAATAGTTTTTTTCACGGATCTTCTAAGCTCAGATTCACCTTCCTATGAAAAAAAAATCTTTCAAATTCTCGACTGAAAACTGCGTTGGGGCAGAAATAGTATGAATTATAGCTACTTTCGTCTCTGATAACTAGTATACTAGTATTTATGTTGACCTCGCTATGAATTCTAATGGCATAATAGTTCAATTGATAGTTCCGACGAGAATTTCTTCTGTTTGAATAAAAAATTTGGAAAGATTTCATACGAAAACTTGATGAAGACATACATTTTTTTCTTGAAATGACTAGAAAAAGCTTGAAACACTCTTTCAACTTTGAAGCCGAATTGCTTGGACTGAAATTTGGCCGACTCGTTAAAATACAATTGAAATGGGAACCATTCAGAAAGCAGGGCGAGCAAGAAAAGAGCAATTTCCGTTTTCTAAAGCGCCATCCTATTTCATGGAATTGATGTTTGCAGAACTATACGTTAGCTTATGTGAGATTTTTAAGCGATACTACTTTTATACATACAATAACATTGTATTGTGCAAAGCTATAGCTTTCTAACGAT